CACTGGCCCATACTTGGATGCATGCAGAAATGGGGATGTTTGCTCTTCCTGCCACTTCTGCTCCATCCAAGAGGTCTTTCTCTCATGCTTTGAGAGTCATGAGTGACCACTGTGCCTCCTTCACTCCAACCAATTTCAAGGCTCAGGTTTGTTTCAAGAGCTTAGACCGGCAATTAACTCAATAAGCCCAATTTTTACTTTCTGAAGCTATCTCCACTTCATGATTAGGCTACATAGCTCCTTTGATATTCTTAGTAGGCTCTTAAGACTATATTCAAATTATGATTGGACTCATATAGCTCCTTTACAGCTCCTTTTTGATGTTCTAAGTTGGCTCCAAAGTATGCTCTCATAGCCCTTGTAGCTTTGAATGAATCCAAACTTGCAATACAAGTCAAATGATATCCAGCTTCAGCCCATTTTTACCTCATCTGTTACCCAAACGTGAGACTAGCCCTTCCTGGCCCTGCATCCCAAAATTTGGGGTGTGACCCCCTTGGTGATTATCTTCAATATGTCTATTTTATATTTATTATCACCTTATAATTAACTATTTGACTGTGTAGGTTATCAATCCAATCCTCATTGCCAATTTATCTATGGTTATAGAGCATTGTATGGGCATAGAGTATTTTATCTTTATGGGTGACATATAGAAGTACCCTACCCATAGTTTTCTATACATGCACTAATTATCTATACACCTGGGAAAAGATGTAATTTGGTGTAATGTAAACAATTATAAAAGAGATGTACAAGTTTTACAACATAACATGAGATCAGAATTTTGCCTTCCCACTAAACTTATCCGTCTGTACTCCCTTTTTGGCTGCTTGAGCCTTCCCAGAGTGAATTCTGACAAGCATTGTTTATAATTCATTCTTTGTCCTCTTTCTTCAATAAGTATTCCTTCCGCAACCGGCCCTGGTTCCTGTTTGTCAAAACCTGTTCCAACTTCCAGTCAATGTTTGGACTTTTATGCTTGCCCAACAATATCTTTAGAGTAAGCAGTGCATTGGTTCCTTAGGTTTATGCACTTGAAGTACCATTGAGCAAACATATACTCAAGGAGTAAATCCTGAGGATGATTGCTTATGAGCAAAATTGTTTCTACAAGCTCAGATGTGGGACAAAGTCCCATACAAGCAACACTTTATTCTAGGGCCTCAAGAGAACTTTCCACAATTGTAAGAAAGGCTTTTTCATGTGTGAAGGTCAGAGTAAAACAGGTGACTCCTTCATATTGATTCTGCTCATATTTGGGTCTCTTTCCCGCTCAATTCAGCTGTAGGGTCTTTCAGATGATTCAACTTGATCAAAAGTTCCTGCTTTGACAGTCACCAGGTGACTCAAGGACCAAATCATATTCAGTACTATAGAAGTACATTGATTTCAGAGCTGTGCAAATGATGAAGGTGATACTATCACTACCATTTTATACTTATCCTAAAGCATATAATTGTAAAATTGTGCTCCATGCATGACTCAATTCCTTGCGAAATATAGGCAAAAATTCTTCGATCTAAATATGCCAATCTTGTGACACAGATGGACACAGATGATGCAAGTGAGAAAAGATACGGCTTCACCAAGGGATGTTAGATGCAAGGATCACAGAGAAGATATTTTTCCCCAGCAATGTTGACCCAGAGAGTACCACTGTAAACATCATCCAGCTTCCTCAAGTGGCAGGGGGGAAATGATTAGGAGTATGGTTTTCCACAAAACAATCTATCACTGCACACCTGAGCCATAACACCCACACTACATATGTGCAGCAGGCTAAGTGAATATTTTCCTATCTTGTACATACAGGTCTGCTCAGTTATCTGCTCATCTGAATAAATGGATCACATGTGATACATCATGTAATTTTTTGACCTTGACAAAATTGTCCCAAAAATTCACTACATATATCTTCATAGCTACTCAGGCAATATTCTCAAAACCATTTGTCAGTAACAGAAAGGGTGTTACATGAAGTTTGGTTGATGAAATTACACCAAAACTATGAGTCAGTGTATGTAGTCAATTTTTGGAATGCTTTTGTTGAGCTGAACAAGGTTACAGCATGTATTACATATGATTCATGTATTCAGATGAGCAGAAAACTGAGCAGACCTGTATGTATATGATAGCCACCCATTCACTTAGTCTACTGTACATATGTAGTGTCGGTGCTATGGCTTAGGTGTGCAGTGATAGATCCATTTATGCCAAACCATACTTAATTTCCCCCTTCCCGATTGGGGAAGTTGAATGATGTTCACAGTGTACTGCACTGCCACTATCAAAACAAAGCTCTTATTGCTAAGGATCAAGGCCATTCTCAAACTTGTTGTCCAACTGTGCAACTTCTGTTATCTTCGCTCAGAAGGCTTGCTTAAAAGCTGTAAGCCTTGAACACTGAATCTCCTCCATTCAGCTATCACTTAATTTGATGACAATTGATACTTATATACCTTCCAGGTGCTAAGCATTATATCTTTGAACGTGGCCAGAGGGACCTTACCCAAGTCACCCACACAGAAAAAAAACAGGAATCTTGTCTGATATTGGTGTGTGTATTGACAAAAACAATCCGCTCCTATGATAATAGTACAAGTAAACAACAGTATATGTCATATATTGGCTTTGCTGGACTCTGTTGCCTGCTTACTGAGTTCCTAAAATTCATGAGTGAGTTAGAAATCAACAGAAAACACTTCATAATTTATCCGCCTTTTACTTGATATTATCCTCTTACTGAATTCAAAAGAGCTCTCTCAATGTTAGGGGTTTAACATCACAGTCTTCATGGAGACATATTGATCATCTCAATGTTCAATTGATCTATAGTCTTTGTTAGTTATAGATGCTTGTTTTTTGAAAAGCTTATTGTGGATAGATCACAGGAGAATAGGTTTGGGAGCCTGTGGTGATCTGTGCTAATCTCACAATGTGTGAGTCTAGTCACAATGGGGGCATAGAGCCCTAATTGCAAGATGATCATGTATACCTAATGGAATAGTTATGTACATGGGCAATTTGTCTCAAAGGCTTCAAAAAGGGTCTGCTACGGGGCGGCCTCAACAATTACAAGACAAGAGGGCGACGCGGTTGGGACAAAATTTATAAGTATCAAAAGATAATTATAAACAAAAATCTCAAATCATGAGAATATCTTAAAGAGATTTTTAAAATCTTTGAGGAAGGATGAAATACAAAGTGAGAAGATGAAGTTTGAATCATCCACATATATATAATCAAACTGAGGGAATCATGTGTCCTTGTGAAGGCAAGGTAAAGAGATGGTTCTCAAAAAAGGTAAACAGCATAGTAAGATGCTGTCATAATGCGTGACACACTGGCTCCCACATCATTTGTCCTGGCAACGTCACAATGACTCCTAACCGTATTCTCGTCTGTGGAAGCTCGCTCCTAGTGGCCATAAATTTTCAAGGAATAATGCAAGTTACTTGACAGTCTTCATTCAATGGAACAAGGAACACATCCATAAAACATGAGCCTGATTAATCTGAGGACAATGGCTGAGAACTGTTGATTGAAATTTCTTCTCTTGACTCCCTATCAGAAAAAAATTAAGACTTCTGCTAGAGAAACTCGATTCTGAAAAAACCAACTGATGACAGCGTCTGGAATACCCTATGGCTTCTTGCCATTATAATCATCAGCTCAGCGTCCGTCATTCTAGAGACTGTCCATTTTCTCTGGGAAATCTAGAATGTGTATAGTATATACTCAACGGATAGATTCAATCTTGTGTTGAGAATATTAATAGCCATTTAACTTGTACATATGCTGCAAAGGCGGATGAGTGATCAGAGCTTCACTAGGAGATTCAGGCCGTCTACTGATTCAGACAGGAGAATGGCCGAGTATTTCATTGTTGTTCTGAAAGTTATGAGCATTGCGCCAATGTGGTGTTGATAGGCTGAAAGCTAGTGGCCCATCAGTCTGACACTTTTCAATGTTATGTGAATGATCCAGCCTTGGAGGTTCACGAGACGGCAAAGCGTCAATGCGTCCAACAAAACACTGGAATTTGAAGCAGCCGATGGATTTATTATTAAGGAGCGACCTGAAAGGAGCCCATGCGAAAAATTGAGGATGAGGGCATGAGCCTGTGCAGTTGAGGATGACTCATGAGGGTCCAACGAAAACCGCTCGAGAAGTCAGAACTCAAACATCGTTAGAAAAATACGGAAGATGAATACTTACTTGACTTCTGCTTACGCAGTCACGGGTCATATAGCGGACTGTCACTGTACGAACTCAGAACTTCAAATCATTTTCTTCTTCATTCAAGCTCCGCAATCATATTGCAACTCACACCCAGTCATCATCCAATCAAACGCCAATCTTCACGCCCCATACGATGGCATTCGACATAGGGGACTTCATCAGACTGTAATGTTCCGTGTTCTTTATGTCAGATTCCAATCAAGATGAAACCCCAAAACTGATCAATGCTTGCGCATCTCTTGTTCAACATCCTGTCATATACTTCGCAAAAAGGATTTCGATAGTGCTCGTAAATTGAAAAGATGGTGGGATCGACGTCAACACTCACAACATCATCAACCCCATCAGCCTCAACCTCACTACGATCAATGGGATCCTGCTGGTGAACATGGCCTACCAGGTCAAGTCCCTCCCGGATCTCATGGTCAGGTTAGTCTACGATTGGATCTACGACTCATATTGTGATATGTGGAACGTGTGATGCTGAAAGCCTGCGCTTTTCTTCGGACATGATTCTTCATTTCACACATCAAGACTCCCGCAACTGATCCCCACTACGTTGCATTGAGAAATCAAGCCATTCAAGAGAACAATTTGATGGTGAGATTCTTTCCTTACAGAGCTTGTCTGATTCATGTGTACAGCTCATCAGACTTGAGATTTGGCTTCAAACTAACGCGAATGCAATCAATACTCTTCTGACCTCCACAATGCTCTAGAAATCGAAATTTGACGATGCTCATCAAGCATATAGCTCTGGACAGAAAGGCAAAGCAAAGGAGATTTCCAATCAAGGAAAGTATCATCAACAGCGGCGCAATGAGCTAAACCAACAAGCTGCTGCGTGGATCTTCAAAGGTAAAACAACGATACCACTTTTTAGCTATCAATATTCTTTCAATTTGGTCTACGCGCTGACTAAAAAAATCTCATTCAGAAACCAATCGACGTTCACCTCCTGGTACAATCGACCTTCACGGTTTATACGTCCACGAGTCAATCTCTTACACCGAATCATTCATCGAAAGAGAACAACGGACAGGTGGCCAGAAAACACTTCGTGTGATCGTTGGCAAAGGAATTCACTCGGCTCATCACATACCGCGGTTGAAACCTGCTATCGAAAACATGGTCACAAAGTATGATTTGGCTATCCATGTAGATCCTCATAACGCCGGAGTCCTATTACTCGACTTGGGAACAGGCAAGGCTGGCCGAGGGATTGATCAGGATGTGAGCCAACGTTTGGAAAGACCTAACCAGGACTCTTGCCAGCTCATGTGATGGCCCAGTTTTCAAAACTTGGATAACTTTTTTCGTTGGAATTTTCTTCTGTTTCATTGAATCGAATATGGATGTATATCAGTAAAGATACCTGTTTCTGCCTAGTATGCGTGAAAAGCTTAATTGTATTACGATATGTTTAGGACGTTTATTTGATTTCATGCTTATGAGCTGATTTGTCTTGTTGAAACTTAGCTTCTAAGTTTGGGAGGCTGATTAAAAGTTCTGGATTGCAGAAGATGGTATGGCAATGATTGAAACTCAACAAAATTTTGATGATTGTAGGAAAGAAGTTTGAGTGAGAGACTATCTGCGTTCTGTCTACCCGGTTTTGCTGTGCAGTGCACTCAGCTCACGTCGAAGAGTGTACACCTTGTCAGACCAAGAGTTTGGTGCTTGAGACTGCGAAATGATGAGATTTGATGTCAGATGTGCCTTTTGAGTCCATGATGGCTGGGAGCAACACCGGTCCAGCTGCGCTCCACGCAGCTGAAGCGCTGCTGGAAAAGCTTCGCTTCGGAGCGGTTCAGCGCACTCGCCGTCCAGTTACGCTTCAGGCTTAGAAACAACTTGTTGCGTAAATGCAGCAGCGCTTCAGTGCCTCGATTTTGAGGTCCAATTTTCACCGCTGCGTTTTCCAAGTGCAGCGGTCAAAAATTGATTATTTCAGCGCCTGTATGCCTTGGTGAGAATTTGAGATATTAGGTAAGAGGTGTCAAGAGTCTTACGAGATGTCGATAGAATTGTCGAAAAGATTGAAAGATGTACAGTCGTTCTCAGAAATGTTGGAAAAATCCAACATCTCGAGCTGAGGTCGTGGTCCCGAGGAGGTGACTTTTTCATGACATGTGTCACGGAAAAGTCATGGCAGCTGTCGAGTGGAGATCAGTGTCCCTTTCACCAACCTCAACTCCCTTGTGTCCTCTCTATGCCATCCTTCCTCTGATCCTCAGCTCGTGTTACAATCCCTTAACCATGAAATCATACGTTTTCACCGTTTTTCTGAAGAGATCAGTCCGTTAGCCTGGCCATTGGCAAGATAGGTGTGTGGTCATCGAGGTATGATGGAAAGTAAACGAATTTTCATCTTGAGATACCTGTCAAAATCAAAGTTTTTGTCAGTGTTTGTATCTGCGTGTCCCTGCTCAGCGCACGGACCCCGAGCTCAGCTCGAGATTTTGCATTTTTCCAACATTTCTGAGAACGACTGTATTGACAACTTTCGAGGACTGAATAGACTACACCTTGAAAGTTGATAGTTGAAACTAGCCCCTTCCATAGGACATTCAAAAGGAGGAGCTTCTTGATTCTTTGGGTACTCCAAGTTTCACAGTCGTACTTTTTCAATTTTGAAATATCTGCAAACAACTTTTATTTGAGTCAATCTACCCATTTGCCCGAAATGCCTCTTCAATCTACGCTGTCCTTTGAATCATCTCAAGCACAAGAATCTCGTGGAGATGGATCCAATGCCAATACAACGTTATCAGCAAGTCGCCCTCAGCGTAATCGACAACCACCATTGAACCCGGGAATGGTCTCACCTTGCCCAGATGGGAGACGTCGATTGTCTGTTGAGATGACTCCGTTAAATTCAAAACGACCAGTTGTCATCGACGAATCCGACGTATCAGCTACAGAGTTGGAATCGAACAAAGCTGTGAACAAAAATAAAAATAAATAAAAAACCGCCAAAGAAAAAACAGAAGAGCACCAAGGAGAGTCAGGTATGTGATTTTGTGTATCAATCATTTATTGTGTATCATTTGAATGATATGTATCTTTTGCTTGACAGTCTGCAGAAACCGAGTCAGCTTTTGTTACAAAAGCAATACTGCGTGCTGATTCGGACGATGAGAATGAGAAAGTTAAATCGAGACGGTTAACTAAGGAAGAAAATGAAGACCTGCTTGCTTATTATGGGGAACCAACCCGTAAAAAGACTGATGTGTGCAGTTCTGTCCCGTATATCATGTTTCAAGATATGATATCTTATGTATGATTTATTTTCAGAATCCGGACCTTCCTCCGCTTTCATACCCATGTACGTGGTGTGCGCCTGACAAGAATAACCCAGCAATTGTTCGGGTCAGTGCGAGCAACTTAACATCAAACCTCAAGACCCACCGAGATGGGCACACAAAGCCTGGCCGGTCCAAGACTGGGTGTCCTGGTTGAGAGAAAGCTAAACGATCTGGACTCCAGGTGCCTCTGTTGGTGGCCGAGGTTGAACATCAGAATGAAATCGCCAAGAAGAATCAACCTGGGAGTTTATCATCATATGTAACTGTAGGACAAAAGGTGAAATTCGATAACATCACCTTCAATCAAATGATGTGCATTTGGATTGTCCGCCAAGCACTGCCTTGGTCTCGGATGAACAATGCGTGGCTACGAGCAGCAGTTCAATATCTACGGCCGGATGCTCGTTTGTATGGTCGACGCTGGGCTTCAGAAGAAGCCAAACGATTGAACCTCTCGATGAAGAAGGTTGTTTTTGAGGAGCTCAAGGTTAGTTCAGCCCTCAAATTAAAGACAAACACTCAAGAACGCTAATGACTCACATTGAAATCTAGAACTTGAAGAGCAAGTTTTGCCTTCAACAAGATGTTTGGACTACGAAGGGTAATCGCCACGGTTTCATTGGTGGTGCAATCACCTTCATCAACAATGAATGGGAATTTAAATGTCGGCACCTTACCCTAAAGCTTGTGGCTTGGCAACACAAAGGAAAATGGCTTGCCGAGCCAATGGTCAATGTGTTTGTGAAGCGTGGTTTAGTTACTAAGATGAGTATCTCCTCTTATATATCACATCATAAACAAATCATCTTTTGTTTACTTTCAACTTACCTGCATCGTTTTATCCACCTTCTTTGCCAGACCACCGATTTGGGGTCTAACAACAACACAATGGCTAGGGAAATGCATGCCCAGTTTCTCGAACAGGACAACATTTCAGATTACACCTGGGATCCACATACGATGCACATATACTGCTTTTGCCACAAGATGGCATTGATTGTTGGAGCGGGTCTCGCAGCGCTTGGTCTCAAGACTCCTCCTCCTAGGAAAACAAAGTCGGTGATGCGTGGTCATTTCCCTGATGTCCGTACTGACACCATTGAAGAAGAAGATGAAGAACATACCTTGGATTGTAATGATGTTGGACCTGTAGCTGAGGTACCCGACGTACCTCAACCCCCATTGGTGGATGAATTCGAAACTGAAGCTAGCCTTCAGGAACTTGCCGAACGGGAGGAAGATGATGGTGCTCCTGATACAGCTGCATTTGAAGAAGCTGAGTGGGACTCTGCCGATGCCGAAGAAGCCGATGATCCTATCCTATTGCTTGAACAGGAAGTACAACCTACTCATCGCCGCGAAGCAAACAAGCTTGAAGCACTTCTAGCAAAGGTATGTTATTATATTATGATAATCTTAATTATTATACTTATCGTACATTTCTTGTGTTTGACACCTCTTTACTCGATTCATTTCAAGATCAACTTTATCACTCGCCGGATCACCCGGTCTTCAGCGTGGCGAAAAGAGTTTGATCGCATCAAGATCAGCTTAGATTTGAAGGTGGAATCTCTTATCGCAGCCTACGGAATTCGGTGGAATATCAAATACATAAGCCGACAGAAAGCTTGGGTAGCCCGTGATGTAAGTTCCACATTGAAGAACATACTCTTATATCATAAGTTTCAATGTTTGACAATTTCTGAACTCTTAGGTTATAGATCAACTTCTGAAGGATGACCTGGCTCGAGTTCACACCAAGAACCGACGCCCTTGCAAGAATGGAAAGCCATACGGCTATTTCCATGAATTGACTGTAACCCCATCAGAATGGGCTCAAATACAAAATCTCAATGCTGAGCTTAAAGTAAGTTGTTTGATCTTTAATTCATATGTCATCAATTGTATTGATCTCTCTCTTTCAGCCGTTTCTTGATGTCACCAAACGGATGGAAGGTGACAAGCCCACCGGGTGCATGGTCATAGCCGAGTACGTTGAGCTTCGAAAAGCTCTGAAGGCCCGATCTGAAGAACTACATATCTCCAATGCCACGTACCCCATGATTGCTGCCATGTTAGAAAAGACACAGGAAGTTTTAGATGAAGCACTTTTTTGTGAGACTTTAATCATGGCATGCCTAGTTCATCCAGCGTTTCGACTACGATTCTTTCACATGTTCTTCGGCCAAACATCAGAAGTATCCATTCGAGCGGAGGCTCTCTTTAATAATCATTTCAAGAAATATCAAGCAGCCTATGCAAGCAAAGATCGAGTGTTGAATGACAAGTCTGATAGTCGATTGGAATCACCTAAAGAACAACAACCTTCTATATTTGCAGTGTATAATGACATGCAAGAAGAAGAAGTAGGAGACGACAGCCAGCTGAGAGACTATTTGGGAGGCCGCGATCGAATGAAAAGTCCGGAGTATGATCTGGCAGATCCTAACTCGGCGCTGGCATGGTGGAAGGTTTGTTGATCCCTTTCATCACTTTCATCAGTCAAAGCTGAATGTTTATCTCCCAGCTTCATTGTAATCGATACCCAGTGGTGGCCGCAATGGCACACGATTATCTAGCTTCCTCTGGATCATCGGCTGCACCCGAGAGGATCTTCTCGGCTGCTGCCGATGTCTGTGCTTCGAGTCGAGGAAGCTTGGTGGCAATTACGATCGAAAGGGCCGTATCATCTCTCATTTGGCTTCGTGAAGGGATCTCTCTCGGTGGAGATTTCATGAAGTCCATGGAGGCTTCTAGGATGCCCGAGTACAGTACCTATATCAAGGAATACCATATGTCACTTCAGGCTCAGGGATCTTCTAAGACTTAGTCGTTCACGTTGTTTTCATTTTGATCTTTGTTATTTTTCATTTCTCGACTCTCTTTAAATACGTTCGGGTTCTTTTTGTTTTCTTTATTATTTATTTCTATACTTTCTTTCAATTTGTTTCCTTTTAATTTCTCGTCTTTCTTTAAATAACTTTGCCTTTGTGAGCCTCAATCATTACTTTTTTTCTACAATTTGCTCCGCTTTGCCGCTGAAGCAGCGAAGCGTCACCGATTCCAGTTACGCTGCTACATCGGAGATTCTTATGCAGCGTTGAAAAGCTTCGCAGCTCAAGTCAGCGTACAAATTGTTGGCTCGCTGGAGATTTCTTGAGTTCTAGTCAGCGGAACCTAGCAGCGCTGTGCGCTGAATCCAATTCAGCGCTCCGAAGCGCTGCTGTGCCACTGTTGCTGGGAGAGAAGCACTAAAATTTGATACGCTGGAACTGTAGAAAGATGGACTGTGAGAAAGAAAAATCTCTATGAGGTCATCAAAGACAAAATGTTTTTCTGATTTCTAGACTTATCCAAGCCAAACATGAACTAATATGTGATAGTAAGACACCACATTGCTCCTTTGCAACGCATATACATCATTACTTGCAGTTACCCCTCTTTGTCAGACTTTTGCAAAGGACATCTAGACACAACTTCCCTCAACTACCTTGTTCTTCAGACATTGCTGTGGAATGACCCACTCATCACAATCACAGTGCACAGAGGTGTGATCCTCATCCTTCTGTTATCAGGAAGGGTAGCAGTTTCATGTTCAGAATGCTTGAAGCATCTGGTTATGAACAATGATCATGATGACACACTTCATGAGGCTTCAGGCTCGAGTCTAGTCAAGGTGATTCTTGGACAGGTCCTGTGAGCAGATAGGAGCACAGAACATATTCAAAGACTGAAGACCATACCCTTTGAAGAGTAGGTTAGATACCATGCAGATAGTTTATTCAACAGTACTTTTGTGTCATCCTTTTGAACTTGAATGCAAGCTCTCAACGCGCGTGAAAAAAATGGTTCTAATCTTTTTGTCAGGCTTATGTGTAGGCCTTTTCCTGCCATGTTTCTGATCCAAGTATGTACATGAATAGTCCAAGACTGATCTTGAACAGCTGATCAGTGGAGCTAGTGTAAAAAATTGACTCAAAATAACTCTCTGAAGACTATCATGTGAGTCCGGGTTTACTTGTATTATTGGAGAGGTAGGCGATATGCCAGAGTATAGCAAGAATACTTTCAAGTTGCCAGCAGTTTTCATCAAAATTTTGAACTTTTCCTGCTTGAGTCGTTCAAACTTTGACCGTCCTTGAGAAAGGATAAGAATGCTTTTTTTTTGATTGATTATGATTTCAAATTTTTACCAACGTTCCAACCTCGCTTACGCAATGTCCTAATTATTGGTGGTGTTAACCAAGCTACGATATTCAAAGATAACTTTCAGCTAAGGATTTGAATCTTATGATGATAAGACGAAATCTACCTACCGGTGAGACCAACTCGAACTGGCAATAGTACCGTCTTATGAAACGTGTAAGCCACTATAGCTGTCGTCCAGAGAAGACTTTGAACTTGACCTGATGAACCGGGAGTTTGATCATCTGCATCATTCGAGTTACTTTTTTGGGCAACTTCTGCCTCTGAGGAGGTAGTTGATTCAGTAGAATGTGATTCTCTTTTCCAATGTAACTGTTCCAAAACCCAGTCCTCAACCTGCCTAACATGTTCCGCTCCGATCAAATATATCGTTACAAATGAAAAACTAATTTTTTTCGTCATCATCACAGCAGATTTCACACAAAAACAGATATCAGTGTAAGGATTATTCAATTTTGTAGTGAATATTTTTATCAGGCAATCAAGAAAATCATTGATCGACCTTTCCTGGCAATTCCGATCAAGAAAAAAGAACTGACCCAAAATCCACCGCACTGAGTACTCCATAAATCACCAAGGCTGCACTGCCATATTGCTTTGTGAGTTGCTTTACTTTTCCGAATATTCCAGCCGGTGGTTCATCCGTTGGGTGTTGGGAAGCCGAAGAGAAAAAACGATGATGAGATGAACGAGTGCTTGGATAGATTAATGGTAAGATTGGTCGTTGAAGGTAAAGGTTAGATCGGGATGAGATTGGCCGAAGACGTATAAGAGATCGCATTGAGCCATTCATCATCCCAGGGATATCTCCCGATGCCGAGCTTTGAAGTTGTTGAGAGATGGATGATTTGATTCAAGTCGTCGCTTTTGGTTGATCAACAATATCAGCATCATGGGGCAAAAGACCATTTGGATCCTCATTCAGGCTAAAACAACTCACCGTATGTGTAACCTGATTGGGTCAGCCCGCTACCGACGAAGACCGACTTGTTTCGGGTATGGTTTTTCATTTCTCAGGCTGCAAGATACAAATTGCAATGAGAAATGAGAGAACACTCCTTCCTCCGTGCTGTCCTCAGTACATATATTGATTTTTGAATGTGTTTTCAAGAATAGTTGTGAAAAAGCTTAAGGTCCAGTTATGATAGAACAGCTGATAGAATGAAGCTCATAGACCCCAAGAGTTTGTTGCTGACTAACAAGTATAGGTCAAAATCCAGATATCATGACAATGCGATCAACTTTATGAGTTATGAAAGTCTTGATGTATTCAGCTTCACATAACATCACAATCAGCCAGAGACAATTTTTAAGTCCCAGAATGATGCAGTCATCTTACTCGTTCAGGGTAGAAAAAATACGAGTATGTGAAGTGCCTTATCTAGCCATTATCAAGAATTCAGAGGGCAGTTGACTTTGAGGTTTCATTAGAGGCACAGGCTTTATTGGCAAAAAAACGAAGTCTTTAAGAAGTTCGTATGCTTATCTTGAGACCTGACAAATATGGTTGTATTCCATCCGAACATGAGCTGAATCCGATGGATTGACACATCGTGACAGAGACAAAACGAGATGAGAGAAAGATATGTTCTGTGGTACAAATTCAAATGAGACGAGCAGTGATGAGAAGAGATGAAGTTATGTTGATACATGGATGATGGACATGTTAACTGTGAACAACAGTTGTGAATAGCCTCGTCTTAGAAATCGGTAGCCTGAATTGAAGAGAATAGGTCAGTGGTGTATTAAATTATGTAAGAAAGTGAAGGAGGTAGGAAATTCAAACTCACTCGACCACCATAAGCCCATTCACGTTCCCATTTTAAAGGATCTCGTTTAGGACCGCCCACTTCACCGGTTTGTGGGTTGACATCGCCTTCGAATTCAGGTGGTGGTTTAGCTCGTAGATCAGGGTGTAGCTCAGTAGCAGTATCTTGAGTAGGTGATGAGAATGGGGCTTGTTGTTGCTTTAACAGTCTTTCGAATTCTGCTTGTTCCTTTGGAGGTAGGGAAGGTGGCGATGGTCGCAAGAATGGAGGATTTGACCTTATGACTGATAGACTGGAGAAAGATCGATTGTAAGTTGAACGGACTTGAGAGTGAATACGTTGACGAATGGAAAACATCTTCAATGAAAAATGCTGATGAGTTTGAGTTGATGAGGCAAAATTCGATTTGTCTGGGATAAAGCAGAAAGCTGATTGGATGAGTTTATATATGTAGCTGAGATGGCTATAAGCATATTTTATTTATAAGCATTTTAAGCTTCATATAGACTCATTTTTTGTTTTCTTGTTGATGAGATCCAAAACAAAGTCATGGAATCCATCATTTTACCAACTCATCATTCTCAACAAGTTTTACAAATTCGACATGATAAAACATATCATCATCATGATCTATCTGAGAGGTTATCTGGAAGATTTGACTCAACGGAATCTTTGATTGAGTCCTTAGTACCACCTCTCATCAAACTTGGTCTCGTCAATCCCATTGGAGATTATCATAATCTGACTCATGATTCGAATCTTGAGAGTTCAATCTCTTCTGAATCTTCATCATTCTGGAAGAGAGAGTTACCCAGAATCCATTGTAATCTTCTCACTCATATTGCTGTAGATTGGCGTCTCAATCTGATTGAAAACAATCATTGGCATTCTATCTACTATGCTTGGTTTGGTTTACCAACTCAAAAATCTGATAATGGAGAATGTGATTCGAATAGCACGGCCATCAAGATGTCTTGTATCGCGATCGAATCGCTGGCCCGCTGCTTGACCACTCCTACTTCTTCGCAATGCGCGCTTCATCCGGATACCCTTGATACGATTATCGAATTGACGAGTCAAATTCTAGAAACTTACTCTCTCTCAGATTGGTACTTCATCCTCTTCGACCCAAAAAATAAACTCAATTCAAGGCAAACAGTCCAAAAAAACGAGGAATGGCGACAATTTATCAATACACTATTGAGTATTCCTGATAAAATCACGAACGCGACATCTCGAATGGGGGCCTCAACCGATCACACTCAATTCCCACCTCGAGCCCATAGATTAGATTGGGTGTTCGTCTTTTGGTCTATTGCTCATATCCTTTTGTCCAGTTTATTGAATGTTCTCGCCCTTTCATTACAATTTTCCGCGTGCCAACTTTTCAAACGAACCCTCTTGCAGGTCTCTATTGACTCGACTCAGTCTTCATTTTGAGTCACTCCTTCGAAAAACGGCACAAGAAAATCAAGCCTCTATCGATGTTCAACCCTTAAGCTCGTTTATTTCCAAGCTCATTCGCATAGGCTTTATCACGGTGGACGTTAATCCTGTCAGCTCACAGCAGAAGATTGACTTTCTCTCTTCGATATGGCCTTGCCTACTCCGCGGATTGTGCGAGCAAGATAAGGACTCAGAGGCTTACTCGCGACTATGGGTGCGGATCATATCAGACCTGCCGCGCAATGAACTACGGACGTATCTAGGCTCTTTCCTTGCCCACACTCAGGTCAAGATGTCTCTTGATGGGCTTGAGTTTTTTCTTGACCAGAAGTCGTGTAGTCGGGAAAAGGCGACAGCGGAACTCTACCGCTGTTATCTTGGTAACTTGGAAGATACTGTCCACGGGGAAGATTCAGAAATTGGTGAGGTGCTGCAGGAGTTGATTATCGAGCGACCTAGTTGGAACATTGGTACGGCTCGAGCTCTGTCTCGATGGATATCCCACGAACAATGTGCTGAAGAAGCCAGGCCTTCGTTGGCCCGACGCGCTTTAAAGAAATTTTGCAGCAAAACTCAAATTTCACATGGCTCGGCTTCGCACCATGCATTTGTGCTCTTGATCCTACTATTAAACTCCTGCCCTATTGATACCAAATCACGTATCATTGATCTGACAAGTGACCCTAAATTCCATGAAGGAGTGCACCAATCATTAGACTCCCTGCGCAAGCGGATCAGGCTGTTGGGCATGTTAATGGCTGAGCTGCTCACAGGGTTTGAGGAGCCAGGTCGCGCAAAGACGATCAAACACGACTTTGGTTCTGAGATTTGGAATGAGGTGGATGACGACACCAACTTATGTAGACAGCTTCGCATGTTGGTCGAGAAATGGGCTCAGCTGACTACTGACAGCACCGTTTGGCAACTTGACATTGCAACCCAACTCGAAAAACTAAATCCATCAACCTTACATACTCCGTTACCTATCTCCAAAGATCACAACCAGAGGCTTATAGGTCGTGAATGCGATACCTCTTCACCTCGAGTGCTTCCGCTTAAAGGCAAGAATCGACATGCATCGGAAACTCGCGAAGCTCAACATGCTCCCCCCAACGAGGATTCTACCGTGCCAGTGGATATCAAAGGTTTATCAATCAGTGCTCCATCACAAAAGCAAAACAAACGACCTATGATAGAGGTGCTAAATTCATCTACACCTGGGTTACAGCCCTACGATATCTCCGATGACGACTTGGCTGAACTTGATGGTGAGCTGAATGACGAGGCGGATGGAAGCCACACAGTGGAACAAATGTACAACTCTCGGTCCAAGGTAAAGCCAAAGATCCCGGTATATATTCATGATCTGACCGAGTATTTTAAAGATGCCGAAAATCATGAGAAGATCGAATTGGCACTCAAGACAGCTGAGTCATTGATTCGTAGAAAGAAGGGATGGGGAAATGAGTTGAGTAAGTACTGATTCATCAAGTATGACTCACACGAGGGGACAATACACCGATTGCACAGTCCGTTTCAAAGCCTCGGTTGTGAGATGTACTGACTAGCTTGCCCTTCGACCCATGACATCTGATCTAAACAGTTGAACATAGTCTGGATCTCACCTTTGCACTCTTGCTGCTTCAAGATAGTTTTGATCTCGATAACTTTTCTGTCCACCGTCAAGCTGCACTGACCGCGCTGGTTGTGAGCGTTCCCGAAAAGGTAGCACCATGTTTAATCGAACAACTTTTTTTCCACCAATACTCCATTACTCAAAGAATTTGTATGCTCAATGCACTGGTATTAGGCGCCAAGGAGCTGGCTGAATCAACATCAATTTCGGCTGATACTATCAAATTTCGTGAAACAAGCAATCTGACCGCTTCGTCGCATATGAGTTCTTCTCAAATCAACAACATACGCTCTTTACTTGACTCTAGGCCTGAACTTTTATCAGATATGTCTCAGGATCTTACTAAACACACGCTCGAGAGAGTAAGAGATCAGAATGTGTCGGAAGGCCCTGTTATTCAAGCGCGATCATCGAATACCACTCGGATCAGTAGCACACTTGAAAAGGCGCGACTACAGAAATTAACCCCTGGTATCAATCAACCGGCCCGGCTTCCTCTCCTTGCTACCGAATATTTTATCATGCCTATGATTAATCGGATGTGGATCTATCTAGAAGAAGCTACTTCAGCTCAACTAGATAAGGGTCGTGGTCAGCCATACCTTGGATCGGGATGGGCGATCCTCTTGCAACCGATGTTACTCTCAAGATTTGTTCAAAGCTTAACGATCCTTCTCTATCTTTCACGAAACTCGGTTGATTTTCTGAATGTGTACTTGGTAGAGAGCTTAGTACTAAGTATCAAGCTAAGGACTCATATATATGAATCAAGAATGAGCGGAGAAGAGATAGTAGAATCTGCACTTTTAGAATTGAACCTCATGGTCCTTGATATCACGATCAATTTAGGAGGTGGATGGAAATTGATCGAAGAAAGTAGAGGAAAGGGGGATGAATGGATACAACCTTTGAATAGTGGTGAGGGTTTATTGGGTGTGATACATAACTGGGCCGCGGCGGTAGTTGAGGTTGAACAGCATCGGACTGGTAGTGAACTGACTCGTACTGGATTGGCTGCTGTGGGCATCATAGTCTTGATCGAGCGTTTGATGAAAAGGCAAAGCTTGGAAAGATCTCATGGTGTGTGTTGAAAATCATTGAGGTCTATGCCGTGAAGTTTGGAAACTTGTTTTGGTATTTTGATATCTAGATCCTTACTTCCTCAAGCGTGTAGACTGATTTGGATAGCTTTCAGTCTTCAGATGTCGAAATGATTTTTTATCACAATACACATTTTGTGATGGATTTATCTAGTTGCTCTTGGGTTTCAGTATGACTGAAAACGTACAGGCTGACAACCCGGCTACAAATCATGAGAGTACACTCTTCCAAGTGTACTCTTGCATACCAAAGCTGACCGAAATGAGTCAAGTCTCTGTTCAAGATCGTCTGTTAAATTTTCTCAGCTTTGGATGAACTCAATTTCCATCCTCTTGGTTGGTTTGATATCTGTTCGATTGCAATCAAGGTGAAGAAATGTATATTGAGAGTAAATTCACCAAATGAGACATAAGGAAAACTAAACCATTGGATACTCCAGCGGAGAGAAGATTGTAGGAATTGCAAAAGACTTCAGAACTAAAGGCTTCATCGTCTTGCGCGTCTTGGTCTTCGTGATCCCTCCTCCTCCCAACATCATCTTCATCATCTTGTGAGGCATTCTAGATGAACCAGTCAGGAAACGCAGTACAAGGAATGTCTTTATATAAGTCTATCATGACTGTGTAAACATATTTGAACTTTCAAAACAGCTCGAGCCACCAACAATTGTCGCCTGCATGGTCTTCGCTCCTGTTGGAAAGATCGATCAACATATCGACTTTTCTTCTCTACTTCCCATAGTAACACAAATATTGAGATGTGCTTGGGCTTGGACGTAGACGTGGCACTTTCGGTTTGGAATTTTGATACATATACATTTGACATTCAAATAAAAGGTAAGCAGCTCGGAAGCCACAAATTGATGGATACATGTTGTTGACAGTTCAAGATGAAATTGTCTTTGTGGACAAGAATCATAAAAATAAGCAAATGAATAAACAAAAGATGTCCATGGTTCTTTACAACTTTCTAGGTATGACTTTGATGATATCTCAGCCTTATTGGGGGCATGCATGAACCTTATGGCCATACCAATCCAAGAGATACCCAGGTGGACCTATCAAAAGATGATGGTAAGTTTCTCGTGTGAATGGGTGTCAAGAAATGCTACTCACCCTGCAAACATTTCCAAACAGGTTGCCAGTCCTTGGGTTCGGGACACTCTTGATCTGCACAGTATCCACGAAACTTTCGTCAGTCGACTCTGAGACGCCAAGATGCGAAGTAGAGTAGGTCAACTTACCACAGCAGATCTACGTCGCAAGGCAATCAGATGGTCATTTCAAGATAATTTGTATGGTCAGTCACCATTTTCTTTCTAAAATATCTTGCTTCCCAGGTGACGTGTGACGCAAAGAATGACTCACATTCGTAGTCTCAACTACCATCCTCACATTTGGGTCTCCGGATTTGGTAATAGTATAAACCATATTGTAGTTTGCATCGCATACGGAGTTCCGACCACTTCTCACCCATCCAGTGAACCACTTCTGGTCAAGCTTGAATTGATCGTGATGGTTATTGAAGGACCCTAACTCTGCCTGAACGTGAGGGCAAGACCCCGACGACCTCCATCTAAAACCAATCTTCTGGTCCCGTTGGCATGTGCCTGTGCGTGCAAAGGTCACATTGACTACCCCGCGCCAATCCTCGGTCTCGCTAAATCTGTATTTGACAAATGTCTCTTCTTGCTTATCATCTGGTGGATTTGGTGAATTTGAGGACTGCGTACAAAATTGGTGCGAAAGAATGGAACAAAGTGTTGATCAATTGTGTATGTATCACATGGTCCAACTTCAACAAAAGCGCAATTCCACTTGCCACCAGATTGAAGATACAGATGAAGAGAAAGAGAAAGGTGTATTGTAATAACATAATAACTAAAAACCTTGAGTGTTGCACAAAGAATATGAGTATATAGTGATATGCGATGAAAATATCTTAAAGAGTCTTAATCTCTAGCTTATAGATTAACTGATTCAAAAAATTGGATCTGAGAAAATGATGAAATGAAGATGTGGTGAAGATGAAAATTCAGCGCATTTCTGGGCTCTTTATATATCATTGGGAGTTTCATTCAGGTATTCTAAAGTTTGGCACGCTTCTCTTCAATGGGCTCACAATTTCTTTTGTCAAGGGGGAGGAAACGCTTTGAGCTCATTCAACCTCATTCAAACTTTATCTAACCGAAATCGCATCACTTCTATCCTCGCTACAATTCAAAATCACGGCAAGCGGCTTACGTTGACGGTAAGTCGGCCAGGAGGCAGTGACCTAGAGACCTCAAACGCCTTCAAGCTCACATAGGCACTCTTAACCCCATCTCATATACCATGACCAGGGATGCAGCAGTGAGTCTACTCCGACTCACTTGCCGCGCAACCTGACTCGGTACTCCACTTGAGTACCGAGACACGTGAGTTACAGAGAGAGTCCCGGACTCCACTTTCAATTGATGTTAGAGTCAGGCATGAGTTCAAGACTCAGCTTGGCCCTGTATGTAAGTACTACAGTGGCTAAGTACTCACTGAGTGAGTAGACTCACGTGAGAGACTACTCACTATGAGTCTACTCATTGTGAGTAAGATCGAGTGTACTCATGAGTAATGAGTACACTCAATCGGAATGGGGTAGCAAACTGGTTTGGGGAGGTGATATCAAATTGTATTTAAAATTCCTTAGATAATTTTGTAAGAGAGGGGATAATCATGTGTTAAAAAGAACCACGGTTAGATCATTTTGTAAGAGAGGGGATAATCATTTGTTAACAAGAACCACGGTTCAGAGGGAAAAACAATAACGGTTCAGAGGGAAAAACAATAGAGGACAAAACGGCAGGGCCCTTTGAAAACAACGCGTGACTCAGAGTCAAAGCAGACCAAATAAAATCAACATGTCTAAGCCACATCCTCCACATTCACAGTCGCCTCCCAATTCGTAAGCCAGTGTCGGACGAGTACAAGGTGGCAAATCGTCTCAGGGTCGAGGCGGCCTCGGGAAGGGACGGCTATGTTGCCCGAGATAGAGAACACCCTCTCGACTGATGCGCCAGCTGCCGCGATCGTGAGGTGTTGAAGGGCTATCTGAGCCAAGACCGGTAGTCCCGAAGGCTTGGACATACGCTGAAATGAGGACGGTGGTCAGCTTGGTTCTGGGCGCTCAAAGGATTAGGAAAGTTACTAACCACCCAGAACTCCCCAATTGTTTCATTGGGGAGCACAGGATCCAGGCGTTGTAAGTATTGCGTGACTTCGTCCATTTCATGACTGGAATGGCTCGAAGGTTGAATTGCCGAGGTACCCAAGAGAGAGTAGATTTCTTGAAGTTTCCTGTCGGTGGTTTTTTTCGGCTGAGCAGGAACAGGAGGAGGGGTCTCGCGGCCACTTTCCGTGGGGCTGGGCTTCCAAAGGTCGTACTCGTCTCGAAGGCAGCGCTTGGCCTGGACTTCTACCTCTAGATGATTACGAAAGATTGAGTCTCTCTGGACCGGATCCAGGAGAGTTGCAACCAAGGTCTGCATGTTGCACTCTTCGCGGTCGAGATACTTCACAAGTTTGTCTTCCGCTCATTTGCAAGCTCGGCCCCAAGCTCCTGGAACACTCTGGTGTTTCTTCAAAACCGTTTGAAGCGCCCAGAGTACAGGAAGAACCAACTGCTTAGTTGCGTCATTGGATTGAAAAATCTGAGTCGCAGTTTCAAACATCTCTAGAACAGGGTGCATATACTCGATAGTTGACCAGTCCGCTTTTGAGATGGCCAGGTGAGTCCTTTTTGGGTCCGCAGTGTAGAGTTCAAGTGACTTTCTGAGGTTGAGGGTTCGTTGGACCTGAAATGAATCATGGAATGGTAAGAAATGGTCAGATTGGAACCAGTTAAAAGACTCATTGACCAAAAGCAGGGCACTTACCACATAATAGAAATAATTCCAGCGAGTAGGAGGGCAGCTGAGGGGAAGAAGTTGCGGATCTTCGACTTCATCGCGGATCTTGATGAACAACTCAAGCTCCTGAGGACTTTTTCTGATGTGAGTATCCAAAGCACGGATGCGGGTGACTATCGTCGACTTTTTCTTGCGGGCGGTGAGGAGGACAGTTGGCGAGTCTTCTAAGAGTGAATCTTCTGGGGCAAGGGTTTCTTCGTTGTTCAGATGGGACAGGTCGACATCGGTATCTTGGGTCTGGGTCGGGCCGTGGACCTCGAGGGAGGACTGAGAAAGCGAAAAAGAGTTTTGAGGCCAGGATTCGGTGACAGGTACGTTGTAGTCGCCCGTGATAGGTAATTTGTCAGGTTCAAAAGAAGCTCGCGGTTCGGCCATCCCCGAGGTTTCATACACGGCAATGTCCTTGTCCGTTAGCTGACCCATACCATCCAAGAAGTCCTTTGCCACAAGATTGATCACGTGGCACATGCAGCCATGGAACCTCGATTCAAACGGCCAGTGGATTCCAAGAGTGGCATAACGGTCACTTAAAAGCTTTGCCATCGCACGGTTCGAAGAGGCATTGTCCCCGGTGATCGAGTAGTGATTCCGAAGTGCGCCAACATGCTCCAGCGCCTTCCAGTAAACCTTGGCCAGGTTGTCACCAGTATGTTTCCCCTCGAGCTTCTGCCACATTGCAAAACAAGGCTCATTAGGCTCCAATTCCGTTCGCATATGTAATTTCTTTTCAGAAGGGCACTTACTTTGAACGCCAGGAGCCGACGACAGAATTTGCCTTCCGAGTTGAAGAAAAAGCCATTGATGGCCATGTACGTATGAGAAAAGTCGGCGCTGGTCCAACAGTCCGCCGCAGTCGAAATTGAACCAGGAACCGAAGCAACCTCGTCCAACAGTTTTTGTTCCAGATCCAAAAAAAGAGCCTCTGAGTCAGCTTTGACAGCCATCCGAGCCGGCCAATAAAACGATGGTGCAATAGCGCGAAGCGCCTTCTGCATTAACACGCCCTCAAAGATAGAGAAGGGTAAATTCTTGCTAATGACAGCCCCGACGAGCAGGGTTCGTAACTCTTTCTTTTGATCCGCGGCGACAATGGGATCGCTTTCCGGTTCGATGGCTCCAGGTTCGTGGTGGTACCAAGCAAGCGCCAAGCCAGGGCACTTGCGTCTGTGCTTGTGCAAGTTCAAATTTGGACGGCCGGAAATCGAAAGCACAACACTGCAAATACGCAGTTAAAGTTAGCTTACAATAAGTATGGGCATTGCTATCCGTAGGTTGACTTACGGACAGTGAAGACAAGGGTACAACATCACACCCTCACCCTTGGACTCGTCTGGCGACTTGTTGGGCTCCTAACAGTGTACGTTGGTCAAATACGCACTGAATCAGCATGAAAGCTAGGTGTTGATGAGACCGGTCGAATTACTCACATCAAAATACAGGTAAACATCTGATCGGTGTCAGTGAGATCTCAACTTTGCCTCCTCGCCATCGACATCCGTAGTATCTTGCACGATGAACGATTTTGGTCGCGATCTTGGTGTCACATCGACTCGGTTGGAAGAGGATGAGACTCGTGAAGCCATTCCGACACCAACACGAGACGTCGGCGTTATACGGGAGGCTGAGACGACCCGCGACGCGGACATTGGGGTCACACGTCGAGCATAGGGTGACACCAAGGCGGGGGGAGGTGATTTGGCCATATTTCGAGGCATGCTGGCTAGGTATTCGGAAGGTCTAACGATTGAGAAGGGAAGAGAATCACGATTAAGAAAAATGGACGGGTGAGAGTAAAAGAATCTCCAACAAGGGAAAAGAGAAATGGGAGAAACATAAGGGGGAGTTGTACGAGAAAGAAAATTATAAATATGGTAGCGAAATTGCTTACCTGAGGTCATACGACCAATCCAAAAGCCCAAAAGCCTCGATATGAGCATTCACCCAAGCCAACGCCGGCCACAACACCTTGATCTGGCCACCAGGATCTATAGATTCTGTTCCCATGGGTCGATTGATGTTAATGAAATGAATTAAGAGATAAATATGATTCAAATGTCTAGTCTAGAAGGTCAAGTCTACAACGTCAAGCCACTCATCGAGATTACGAAGGCCAAACGGATGGATGGATTGAGGATAGGGCCTGAAGAGGTATGGCAAAGGTGGAAGGTGTGGAAGTGGGCAAGACGTGGTCGATTGAGATTCGATATTGAATTTAAGGAATCGAGGTGGTGGCGGTATCTTGAGAAGGTGGATATCGATATCCAATCGATGGTTGATAAATAATCTGGATTTGATTGATGAATGGGGATCTGGTGGAGGCCTTGTTTGGCTGAGTATATGGTGAGTATATACTCATCCAAACAAGGTGGCCGGTGAATGTGGGTTAGTGAGTCTTTGGCCCGGATGAAGGGCGAGATTGAGTACGTGTATTCTATTTACACATACTACTGAGTTTTCCGAGATGGAGTACGACTCATACAGTCAACCCCGGGAGTACATGTACTCGCGTACGGGGCCAAAACCCGTCCTCAGTGAGTATGAGTTGGGTATACTCATACTCACTGCTGCATCCCTGACCATGACTACCAACTCGAAGTTTTTTGATACATGTACGCACTTGGATTACTAGTATGATTTTACGTCAGTTCAAGATGTGGAGCCCCCGCATGACATTTAATCACTTCCCAAGACAAAAGGAGACAGCTCGCTGTGACGCAGTTTCACCTCACCGACAGAGCATGATTAAGATTACTCTGGTCCTTGCAAGCTGGCACCGTAACTACCGACTCGGATTCTTTTGATAGATATACCGTTACGTACTCAGATTTCCATCGCCATTCTACGTGAATGTAAAACATCAATTTTCAAGGGCTAGAGAGTTTTCACCTGAATATACATTTTGGTGCACACCGCCCTCTGCTATGATAAGAAAGCATGAACATATTGCTTAGAAATGCTTGATGTGGTTTAATTCTGTTACTACTTGGTCTAGTTCATTTAAAAACTATGCGATGTGCAAATCGGTAGACCACCACTCATCAAAAAGGCTGACTGTGTGGTGCACGTGGTGTTGTAAACAAAGTGGGGAGTCCTACACTGCTGTCTTACTTCGAGGAGTAACCTCAACTTCATGCAAGGGTTCATCAAGGAATAGAAGACAATAAATCAACAGGGTGAAATGGAGACGTCTGGCAACAAAAGCTAATCAAGATTTAAAACACGACCTATGATATTGATTCATTAGGAAGTTTCGAGGTATAATTCGATGATTGAAGATACATACATGTGCGAGAGAATGACGTTAAAGAGTGAAATAGCAGTAGTTTAGCAGAGCAACGCGTATATGAAAAAAAAATGGAAAAAAGTCGACGTAGTGAAAAAAGCATTGAAAGATTAGCCCTTCTCCTACAAAAGAGAGCATCTAAGATGATGATTTCGTGGCTAAGGTGCTAAAGAAGCATATAAATATATTAAAGGGAAAAACGAAAAGTGATGAAAACATGTCATTAAATGTCAATAAAAGTCAAGTCAAAGTTTATGGATGTGAGTTAGTCGATCCCATCGACCGTTCGTTCACTTCTGTGCTCAAAGGTATTGTGGCTTGCAACAGTTCCTTCGAGACGATGATAGGACTCTCTTCGGCGCTGAATGAAATCTCACAAGTGAATGATTGATGTTTGGACATTGTGTCCTCTGGCACTACCTGCGGAACTGAGCCAAGACGTTTTTTGAGGACTTTTTTTCTCAAGGAAACAGATACTTTGCTCGAACGTGGTCGCGGTACTGGTTGAATGGCCGTAGGATCTTGGCTGGTATAATGCTGAGATGGAACGCTTTCTCGCAGTCCCAAGTTTGGTCTTAATTTGGAAGGTCCATGGCGCTGTGCAGACTTCGATGCTGTCGACACTGGTCGCAGTTTTCGTGAGCCGTCCGGTGATTGGTATTGTGATTCAATGTCAAGTGCAGCTTGGTAGGATGAGATGAGAGTGACCGAGCCAGGCGTGCACTCCTTCATGACAGGTTGCACATCGTAATCGTCATTGAAGATGGAATCTTGTGATGAAACTTGAGAGTCAAGATCGTCCGACGGTTCTGATTTCCTGAACCATTTCGACCATCGTGCAAATGAGGAAGTACTTTTGTTCGAGGTCTTTCGATCTCTGGGGCGGTTGTGAAAGATTGATTCATCTGTTGGAGGAGTATACGCCCTGTCGCCTTGTTGCTGTCTGAAATTGAAATTTTACACGCCTATGAGCTACGTCCATGACATGCACGCAAGGAAGGACGTACGAGTGCTGCAAAGGAAGTGATAAGGGTATTGTATCATCAGGTGATATTTCACCATCTTGCTTGCATGTCGTGGGGTGGTTTTTAGTGATGTGAAGGGATAATGAGGGGGATGTAGGGGTCTGGTAGTCCGATGGATCAAAAAGTTTTGTGGCAGACGTGATAGGTCCCACTCGGCAGTGATCACTGAAGTTTTCTTCTATTGTGATCTCGGAAAGTGGCCGTTCCTGATTCATAATTCTGCGCATTTGTCCTCGCATACGAATCACCACGACAATCATCAGGCTCGAAACAGCGACGCCGGCCACTCCCACGGCCAACAAGATATGCTTGCCCAGGGTCGGGACGGAACTATCGACTGGTGAAGTGCTTTCGGTATTTAAAGACATTCTTGACGCTCAAATCAGAGTGACTGGATGATTGAAGGAATAGTTTATCAGCTCAGAGACTTATATGAAGATGGGAAACAAACGCACCAGAAGTTAAGAGGGGACAATAATATGTTGAATGTGGCGATAGGTCGGATGAGGGCGGCCAGCGGTATGATTCCAGAATATGACCTGCAAGATCAGACAGGAAAGTGGAAATGGGTTTTAGGTGATCTGGCTGGATGTAATACCAAATATGATTTCTCAAGACAGGTGCATCAACTCACCAATTCCAAGTAGTGGTTCCGCAGTTGTGTTTGAAAATGTATGGAAAGCGTTCCTGAACTCGAGGCAGCGTGACCGGAAATAGTTAGGCAGAGTATTTGCGGAAGTATGTGGTCCTGAGATTTAAGAAAATTAATGTGGAAATAAAAAACCACTGGACAAGCAAACGTATGACGGTGAGGTTCCCGTTGATTACAGCTCGAATATATGCGAATTCGTATCGTGTAAATTGATGATAATCGAAGAGTATTGTGACGCGGACTGAGAACGCAGATTCCGGTTATATGGCAATTTCAGTTTGAACGGATGTACCTTTGCTCTTTCTAATGATGACGACGTTATTCAAGTATAGGTAGTAAAAGCTAAAGAAGGTTGATGATCTCTACTGGAGCACTGCGCTAGATGACGCGTTAGAGAAGGCTAACCTGTCCAAAGGAGTCACAAAGATAGACTCAAAACCTACAGAAAAGCCCAAAAGGATAGGGGATTGTTGAGATCTTTAGAATTCGAGAGTGAGATCAGTCTACTTTTGAGAATTTTCCAAAAACTCTTTGAGTATCACACAGTGTTCCGTCCAACCCTCAACTGGAGTGTTTTAATTGAGGTTTTCAGTTTGGAATGAGAGAGTTTAGATCCTGTTTCGTTTTGTTTAGGAGCCCATTCTTAATTTCTATTTCTTGGCCAACTGGTCCAAAGAATTTCCTACCCTCGTTGCTAAGTTAGAAATCCCGATTGCCGTCAAAGGTATCTACTCATCATTATTGGTATGGCCATCGAATCAAGCTATGCGCGCTCCGCTATAAGACAGGCTTTACATATTCTCGCCATTGCGAATTCCTTCAGCATGCGACCATTCATGGCCACTAGAAGCGAGCTTCTCAAATGAGAATAGGTCAGGGACTCGGGAGTCACAGTGACGTCGCCTCGACGAACAATGTGTAAGTTTTTCGTGTCACACGTTTATTTCAGCTATCACTATGCTGTTTACTTTATGGAAGAACCATCTCTTTACCTTTCCATTTCATGAGGACGTATAATTCTCTCATGATGTTCATCATATAATGTGTGCATGTTTCTGAACTCTGGTTCTTCCCACTATTTCATTATTACAACGCTTCAAGAATCCTTTGGTTTTTTTAACGCAAGAAAACGAAATAAATGTCCAAAACCCTCGCTAAAACCCTCGCTGAAACTGATTTTGTACTAGAATCTGTCAAATTTGAACTGTCCAAATGAGTTTTTTCCGAGTTTTGTCCAAAACTTTAAAAAAAAGACCACCAAATAAACCGAAGGATTCTTGAAGCGCTGTAATTTTTAAAGTATCAAAATAGAACTCAAAAAATTCCCACGGTCACCTTGCAAGGCTTAGCAAGCAAGGGACTTACCTCCAACTTGCACGCTCTATAGGCTGAGAGTAGAGCCTTTTTCATTCCCCACCAAGGATTTGTATATGGTCCAAAGGAGAAAGGTGTGCGCCTTGATCTGGCGCAAATTGTGAATGTTTTTTTCCTAACAAAAGCGATCCCCTCTTACCAAAAGTTTACAACAAAGATTGGCTCTTGAAGGGATATTACACATGTAACTTCCATCTTCAGTCCAGATTTTCTGCCAAGACCCAATCTTTCAAACAAATTTTTGGTAACAAGGGATTGACTTCTTTGGGGAAAAAATAGTGCAAACTTGGCGCAAGATAACAGCGCAAAAGTTTCCTCTTTGCAACACATGAGAATTTTTGGTAGAGAGTGTGCAGATGGACTTCAAGAAGACCTCCTGCAAAAAGTCTTACCCTTAGCCTATGAAGTGTGCAAGTTGGAAGTAAGTCCCTTGCTTGCTAAGCCTTGCAAGGCAAGTGTGGGACTTTGCTAAGATTAATAAATATCTATCTTAGGTATTCTCATGCTATTTTTGAGATTTTTTCTTATATATGCATATGTATATTTTTGGTCCCATCCACCTCTCTGTGTATTCCTGCAATCCATTAGGGGTACACAAACTTGAACACCCGACCTAAAAACCCATGGACAAAACCCATGACAAACTGATTGTTTTTTGGGTTTTGTCCATGGGTTTTCCGCTTTCCTGTTGGACAAAACCCAAAAAACAATCGGGCTGTCATGGGTTTTGTCCATGGGTTTTTAGGTCAGGTTTTCATGTTTGTGTACCCCTATTTTCAAGTATCACAGAGATACAGGGACAACTCAGAAGTCAAAAGAGTTGTATTTTATTTGGCAGCCAAAATCTTGTTGACCATTTCAACTTTTCAAATTTCACAATTTTCTAATTTGTTTCCAGTTCTGGAAACACCAATTGGTCCACTTCATACTAACACTTTTCTCGTCTGAAGATTTAATTCATTTCAATTTCAAATATGTTTGAATACTTTTTTAAATATTTCATATTTTGTTCTGGTGATTGGCCAGCCTGATCTAGGCTCTATTGAACAATAGAGAAGGTAGGTTCCTCATATTGTTAGATAAACAACTCAATTGAATAATATTAGTGGTGGTGATGTGGTGTGTGGTGATTTAAGACAATGACATGAGTGAATTAAGGGTGGTTTTTAACTATGATGACAATGTGAGTTGAAGTTAGGAGGGGGGGTATTGGGAATGAGACTTGTATGTTTTCCAAAAAAGATGTGATCTGCCCAATTTTTGGTCATATAAGCTACTGATTGAAAAATAGTGACCCACTTGGTCCATTATTGTAAAACTTCTTCCACAAGAACACAATTACCACCACTCTACTAATAGGAGATACCCCGTCATCCACAGAAAAAAGAAGGTTGTTGGGATCTCCACAGCCTTGAAGGATCTCTTCCAGTTATCTGCAACAAATCCTTCAAGGCTGTGACAGGACCCGAAGGGGTAGGTTGATAAGTGAGGTGTAAGAACTGATATCACCCAGGGTCTGCAGTCTTGGCCAATTATAAAAGAATGGGTGTGTGTTTCCCATCTTGATCAAATTTGATGTTCTTTTGCCTCATAATTGCTTCAGGATGACGTGAATTATTATAGTTATTTTTCTTTTGATATTGACAGATTAACACTACAAGATTTTTGAGAGTAATAATCAATTTGGGTGCTTATTTTCTTGTTCAATCAGTTACTCTGAGTGTGTAGTATTGCCCATCAATATGTTGACACATGTCTTTTGAGTTATCAAAACAGACATATTCCTTCAAGTTGTGTATCAGTACTCCTACAATAAGAAATTTGATCATAGATCTTAAAAGAGCAGTCCTTAGAAATCTTCTACTAGTTGCTTCCTATCAGATTTACTCTTCACATTCTATATCTCCCCTGTTGGGTGATTAGTTCTACAACAGTAGGGAATTACAGCTGTGGACAGGGTTTTTTATACCTCAAACACTTCCCTGAACAATCTGTAAAATCCTCTGTATGTTACATGTCCACAGCATGGCTGGGACCCTCTGATAGGAATATAGATTTTTGATAGTGTAGTTGTTTACATTCAATTCACATGGTACTAAACCAAAGTCAAAAGTCCTATGACCAGAGATAAGTTTTATTTGCTGGAGCCTTTTTTGGTTGAATAACAATGTTGATTCCATTTCAATCAGTGATGAAAGTGAAGCAGAGTGTCCCAATCAATTTTCTCCATCAATCTCTTGACAAGCTCCAACTTTAGTCCCGGTTTCTATTCTAATGTAACATAAGTCCCTCAAACCACAGCATTCCTCAGAGCCAGTAGGGATTGAATTCAAAAAGTTGTTGTTGGATAACTAGACTTTTGGCTTATTAAAAAACTCTGAAGATGAAAAGATGCAAGAAATCATTACTGTAATGTTAATCAGAGCCCTTGGAGGAATTGCTTGGACAAAAGGCAGAGTAAGTGGAGGCTAAGGGTAGTCCTTGCCAAATTTGAGTTGGTATCAGGTCAAAGTTTCCAATAATAGGTACCTCCCCCTGCAATGGCTAGGTCTCACCTCACTTCCCCCCTAAATGGGCTTTTGCTACACTAGGATTTTATTTGGTGCAAATTGATAAAATCCACCTGAGATTTAATGTCCTTCATGGGCTCAATGGGTGCGCTGGGTTAGGATAACTCAACCAATTTCCTCTAGTCTGACACTTTTCCCCACAAGCTCTGGTTTCTGGAGAGGGACTTAGGACTAAATAGGGGGATCAAAATTGCAATCTGGCTAGGCATTTATTCAGCACCTCAAAAACACCCACTTTCACTCAATGAGTGTCTATGCACAATTTACCTGGAGGTATATGAGCTCATTCCCATCAACTTGGTCTATTCAGATGTTTTGTATCTCACTCTCGGATTTCTCAAGAAGAATGAGAAGTTCCTTGGAGGAATTTGGTTGTGCGCAACAACTGTATTTTTGAAACAAAATTCACAACTGACCACAATGAACACATTCCTTTATCTCTTACAAGAGGACTGCTATTCAATCAATGAGCTTTGGCCAAAGATTTAAGTGGTTGATATCAAGACTGTAGAGGATCAGGGCTATCTGGGGTTTTCTGGCTTATTGTTCAAAAGATTGCCCCCTTTTGCTCAGGTACTGGCTCAATGGGGGACTTAGTTAAGCTTGCTATAAAGGTCAAAATTTTCAATAAAATCAACATATCTGGTGCATAACAAACAAGCAATGTACAAATACCAGCCCTAACACACAAAAAATGTACATTTTTTTTCAAAAAGTGTGTAAGGATGCATTGAATGAAACATTATCTAAACAAGTTAAAAAAATTAGGGACCAAATTGCCTTAGACAATTTGGCCATCTAGTTGGAGCAAAGGAGTTTGTTGTCATTTGTTGTTGAGAGGTCTTCTTTATTCCTGTATTTTGTTCATTACTTTTTTTGCAATTTTTTATCCTTAGTTTTTCACACCTTTGTGCAAGCACACCCCCTTATGGAATTTGGTGGAGATAGAGTTGAGAGCAATAAAAATTGTTCAATTCTAAGAAGACTGCCTTGATGGTAATATCCGCCAAACTCTGTAACAAGATTAAGCAGTGCACTGTTTCTGATGTTTTTCAATCTCTGCCCATTACTGGAGAATTTGTCAGTGAATTAAGTTCTTGGATGATAATTTGTTAAAAACTGTCTCAACAGTAGTATCTGCCGGACTGTGTCCTGAGATTTTACAGTACACTGTTTCTGATGTTTTTCAATTTATCCCTGTTACATGGGAATTTATCAGCAATTTGTTTAGCTTAACAAATCCCTGTGTGCACAGCAGCGGCCGTGCCCTTGAAGAGGGGTTTATGACTAATTTTTGAATTCTGACGTGAACACTCCAAGGATTGTGTGTTGTTATGTAGTGTTTTGCATTTTTGTGCTTCCTGCACAAACATACCTCATTTTACTACGCAGGACA